CTAAAAAACCCAACATGATATATGAATCAATGGTTTTCAGACATTGGACAATAGGCATAATAGGACTGTGATTCTTGAAGAAAGATAAGTAATGTCTGGCATCCAGTGAAAAATTACTGGACGTGCAAAGAAATGGGATAATATAACCCACAACAGGTAACATTTAATTAATAGAAACAGAATTCAGAAATGACACATATCATAAAATTAGGAGACAAGGATATTAAAAAGCTGTGATAAAAATGCTTTACATGTTCAAGAAGTAGAGGAAAACACGAGCATAACAAGGAGGGAAATGGAAGATATAAGAAAAACACCCAAGTCAAATTTCTAGAGATGAAAAATACAATGTTTGAAATGAGAAGTACATTGGATGGGATTAACAGCAGACTAAATAAAACACAGTTGAATAAAAAATTAGTACATTTGAAGGCATAACAATAGGAAGTACTCAAAGCACAGAGAAAAAAGATGAAAAAAATGAATAGGGTGTCAGTGAGCTGTGGAACAATATCACATGGTCTAATATACATGTAACTCCAATTGGAGAAGGGCAGGGACACCAGAAAAGTATTTGAAGAAATAATGGCTGAGAAATTTTCAGGTGCCCGAACAGGACCTGGAGACCTCTTTTTTTTATTGTAATGAAGGACAGGATTGCTTCTCTGTCGATAAAGAGAACAGTTTCATCATGAGCAGGTGGAAAGCTATAATATAAACTAACCCTTTTAGACTACATAGTGACCTTCTGTGTTACATGTGTGTTGCTTTCCCTTTAGGACCGTCTGGAAAATTTGTGATACTCGTCTTTTTATTTTACTTTTTTATCTATCCTCGAATCTCTTATTCACTCTTAAAGTGATTCCCTTCCCTCACCACCATACCACCAAGTGCCCCTGGCTAACCTAAGGAAGTCCTGTACCTGTTTCCTGAGCTGCTTGCCTGGGCTCCAGGGTCCTTTCATTCATCCATGCATCCACCTCCAGCTTTTCCTAATGAAATTTTGACTCACTTTGGTCCTGCCTGTCAGCTCATCTTAAAGGCTAATTCTTGATAATTAATTCTGGAGATTTCTGATGAGTTAATGTATAACACTAATAGGTTAACATTCACATTTAAAAGGCCATCCAGAGGTTTGCTTTAATTCCTATTTATTTAAGGCCTAGCTCAAATACAATCTTATTTATTTAACAATCACTTCTCTAGTGGTACCGTGGGTCATATACTGTGCTAGAATGAGTAAGACCTAACTCTTGCCCTCTGGAGCCTCACATTCCTGAAAGACAGACTTACAAACAAATACAAGTTCATGTAAATACAGTAAAGGAGGTATGAACAAAGGTTCTGAGCACTCAGTGGGGGAATTGTTTGCAAGACCTAGGGCACTCAAGAAGAAAGACTTTTGTAATGGGTCTGCAGGAGAAATAGGAGTGGAACAGTCTGAGAATGTGAGGAGAATACTGGGCAAAGAAAACATCATCAAAGACACAGAGATAATGAAAAATGTCAATTGCTATTTGCTACGTCTTTCCTATGGTTCATGTACAAAGCTTTGCATACATTCTCTCAATTGACTCTCACAAGTACCTTTTTAAATAACTGTCTTTATGATATGTACTTTACAGATCTGCAAACTGAGGCTTTGTGGGGGGAAATTCCAAAAGTTACCCAAGGTTGTCTAATATGGCAGAAGTAGGATTGGAACCAAGATCTTTCTGATTGCAAAACATATACTCTTAATCCTTAACTTACTAAAGAAAACTCGTGTTCAGAATATGGTAGGGTGAGGGCAAGGTAGTAGTAGGAGAGAAGGCAGGGAAGGTTTGTAGAGGCCAGACTTCTGAAGGATTTTATATGTTATACATCCATGAAATAGCTTTTTTTAAAATCCAGTTTTGTCCCCTAACTCCCAAACCAGAAGGAATCTTATTTTTTTTTTCTTAACCCCCAAGCACTTAATGTTTATATCTCACATCCATTTATAACTTTTTTCCCCCCATTTCCCCATTTGCCATTAGGCAACACAGTTTTAATCAAAGGAATTATTTCTTTTTTGAAAAATTGTATAAACCAGGCATGGTGATGTATGCCTGTACTTCCACCCACTCCGGAGATCGAGGTGGGAGGATCACTTGAGCCCAGGAGTTCGAGGCTGCAGTGAGCTATTATTGAGCCACTGCACTCTAGCCTGGGTGAACAGAGTGAGACTCTATCTCTTAAAAAAGATAACAAAAGAAAAAAATAATAAAAATTATATATATTTAAATTATACAACTTGATTTGATATACATATTGTGAAATAATCACCACAATCAGGGTAATTAACCAATCCATCATAGTTACCTATTGTGTGTGTGTGAGAATACCTTGTGTGTGAGAATACTTAGGATCAACAACAAATTTTAAGTATATAGTGTAACATTGTTACTGATAGTCACCATGCCATACATTAACTCTCCAGAATTTATTCATCTTGCATAACTGAAACTTTCTACCTTTTGACCAACATGTTCTCATATCCTCTTTCCCTCAGTCCATGGTAAATTCTATGAATTAACTATTTTAGATTCCACATATAAGTGACATCATACAGTAGTTATTGTCAGGCCTCTAAGCCAAAGCTAAGCCATCATACCCCTTGTGACCTGCACATATACATCCAGGTGGCCTGAAGCAACTGAAGATCCACAAAAGAAGTGAAAATAGCCTTAAATGATGACATTCCACCACTGCGATTTGTTTCTGCCCCACCCTAACTGATCAATGTACTTTGTAATCTCCCCCACCCTTAAGAAGGTTCTTTGTAATTCTCCCCACCCTTGAGAATGTACTTTGAGATCCACCCCCTGTCCGCAAAACATTGCTCCTAACTCCACTGCCTATCCCAAAACCTATAAGAACTAATGATAATCCCAGTGCCCTTTGCTGACTCTCTTTTCGGACTCAGCCCGCCTGCACCCAGGTGAAATAAACAGCCTGTTGCTCACACAAAGCCTGTTTGGTGGTCTCTTCACATGGACGCAAGTGAAATTTTAGTGCCATGTCTTGGATCTGGGGACCTCCCTTGGGAGATCAATCCCCTGTCCTCCTGCTCTTTGCCCCGTGAGAAAGATCCACCTACATATCTGGTCCTCACACCGACCAGCCCAAGGAACATCTCACCAATTTTAAATCCAGTAAGTGGCCTCTTTTTACTCTCTTCTCCAACCTCTCTCACTATCCCTCAACCTGTTTCTCTTTTCAGTCTTGGCGCCACACTTCAGTCTCTCCCTTATCTTAATTTCAGTTCCTTTCCTTTTCTGAGAGACAAAGGAGACGCGTTTTATCCGTGGATCCAAAATTCCGGCGCTGGTCACGGACTTGGAAAGACAGTCTTCCCTTGGTGTTTAATCATGTGGGGACGCCTGCCTGATTATTCACCCACATTTCAGAGGTGTCTGACCACGCGGGGATGCCTGCCTTGGTCCTTCACCCTTAGTGGCAAGTACTGCTTTTCTGGGGGGCAAAACCCCCCCAACCCCTTCTCTCTGTGTCTCTACCCCTTCCCTGCTTTTCTAGGGGGGCAAGAACCCCCCCAACCCCTTCTCTCCAGGTCTCTATCCGTTCTCCGCTTTTCTGGGGGGCAAGAACCCCCGACCCCTTCTTTCCGTGTCTCTACCTCTTCTCCCCTTTTCTGGGGGGCAAGAACCCCCCAACCCCTTCTTTCCGTGTCTCTACCCCTTCTCTGCTTTTCTGGGGGGCAAGAACCCCCGACCCCTTCTCTCCGTGTCTCTACCCCTTCTCCGCTTTTCTGGAGGGCAAGAACCCCCTAAGCTCTTCTCTCTATGTCTCTACTCTCTCTTTTCTCTGGGCTTGCCTCCTTCACTATGGGCAACCTTCCACCTTCCATTCCTCCCTCTTCTCCCTTAGTCTGTGTTCTCAAGAACTTAAAACCTCTTCAACTCACACCTGACCTAAAACCTAAATGCCTTATTTTCTTCTGCAACTCTGCTTGGCCCCAATACAAACTTGACAATGGCTCTAAATGGCCAGAAAACAGCACTTTCGGTTCCTCTATCCTATAAGACCTACATAATTTTTGTCGTAAAATGGGCAAACGGTCTGAGGTGCATTACATCCAGGCATTTTTCACACTTCGTTCCCTCCCTAGTCTCTGTTCCCAATGCGATTCCTCCCAAATCCTCCTTCTTTCCCTCCTGCCTGTCCCTTCAGTCCCAACCCCAAGCATCTCTTAGTCTTTTGAATCTTCCTTTTCTATGGACCCATCTGACCTCTCCCCTCCTCCCCAGGTTGCTCCTCGCCAGGCTGAGCTAGGTCCCAATTTTTCCTCAGCCTCTGCTCCCTTACCCTATAATCCTTTTATCACCTCCCCTCCTCACACCCGGTCCAGCTTACAGTTTCATTCCGTGACTAGCCCTCCCCCACCTACCCAGCTATTTCCTCTTAAGAAGGTGGCTGGAGCTAAAGGCATAGTCAAGGTTAATGCTCCTTTTTCTTTGTCCAACATCTCCCAAATCAGTTAGTGTTTAGGCTCTTTTTCATCAAATATAAAAACCCAGCGCAGTTCGTAGCCCATTTGGCAGCAACCCTGAGATGCTTTACAGCCCTAGACCCTGAAAGGTCACAAGGCTGTCTTATCCTCAATTTGCATTTTATTATCCAATCTGCTCCCGACATTAAATAAAGCTCCAAAAATTAAATTCTGGCCCACAAACCCCACAACAGGACTTAATTAACCTCGCCTTCAAGGTGTACACTAATAGAATAGAGGCAGTCAAGTAGCAATGTATTTCTGAGTTGCAATTCCTTGCCTCCACTGTGAGACAGAACTCAGCCACATTCCAGCACACAAGAACTCCAAATGCCTGAACTGTAGCTGCCAGGGGTTCCTCCAGAACCTCCTCCCCCGGGAGCTTGCTACAGGTGCCGGAAATTTGGCCACTGGGCCAAGGAATGCCTGCAGCCCGGGATTCCTCCTAAGCTGTGTCCCATCTGTGCAGGACCCCACTAAAAATTGGACTGTTCAACTCACCTGGCAACCACTCCCAGAGCCCCTGGAACTCCGGCCCAAGGCTCTCTGACTGACACCTTCCCAGATCTTCTTGGCTTAGCAGCTGAAGACTGACGCTGCCCGATCATCTTGGAAGCCTCTTGGACCATCACAGATGCTTTGGGTAACTCTTACAGTGGAAGGTAAGTCCGTCCCCTTCTTAATCAATACAGAGGCTACCCACTCCACATTACCTTCTTTTCAAGGGCCTGTTTCCTTTGCCTCCATAACTGTTGTGGGTGTTGATGGCCAGGCTTCTAAACCCCTTAAAACTCCCCAAGTCTGGTGGCAACTTGGACAATACTCTTTTAAGCACTTCTTTTTAGTTATCCCCACCTGCCCAGTTCCCTTATTAGGTCCAGGCATTTTAACTAAATTATTTGCTTCCCTGACTATTCCTGGGCTACAACCACACCTCATTGCCACCTTTTTCCCCAGTTGAAAGCCTTCTTCACATCCTCCCTTTGTATCTCCCCACCTTAAACCACAAGTATAGGACGCCTCTACTCCCTCCTTGGCGACCGATCATGCACCCCTTACTCTCCCATTAAAACCTAATCACCCTTACCCCGCTCAACACCAATATCCCATCCCGCAGCACGCTTTAAAAGGATTAAAGCCTGTTATCACTCGCCTGTTACAGCATGGCCTTTTAAAGCCGATAAAGTCTCCTTACAATTCCCCCATCTTACCTGTCCAAAAACTGGACAAGCCTTACAGGTTAGTTCAGGATCTGCGCCTTATCAACCAAATTGTCTTGCCTGTCCACCCCGTGGTGCCAAATGCATATTCTCTCCTATCCTTAGTACCTCCCTCCATAACCCATTATTCTGTTCTGGATCTCAAACATGCTTTCTTTACTATTCCTTTGCACCCTTTGAAGGGGTGGCCTGCCCCTCCACACCTGTGGGTGTTTCTCATTAGGTGGAACGAGAGACTTGAGAAAAGAAATAAGACACAGGGACAAAGTATAGAGAAAGAAAAGCGGGGGCCCAGGGGACCGGCACTCAGCTTACAGAGGACCCATGCCGGCACCGGTCTCTGAGTTCTCTTAGTATTTATAGATAATTATCTGTACCATCTTAAAGATAAGGGAGTGGCAGGACAATAGGATCGTTTTTAGGGAGGAAATCAGCAGTAAGACATAAGAACAAGGATCTCTGTGACATGAATAAGTGTAAAGGAAAATCCTGTGCCTTGAGATAAACCTTTTAACGGCATTGTTTCATCCTATCACATGGGGATAAACCTTGGACAACACCTAGCTTTTTTAGGAACAAAGACACACCCTGCACGCCCAAAATCCATTAAACCTGGAGTTACCACAGCACATGTCTCTTGCAAGGACAAGGTTGGGGGTAGGGTCACAGATTAACAGCATCTCAAATACAGAACAAAATGGAGTCTCTTATGTCTACTTCTTTCTATATAGACACAGTAACAGGCTGATCTCTTTCTTTTCCCCACACCCTTCATCCCGGCCTCTCTTTGCTTTCACTTGGATTGACCCTGACACCCATCAGGCTGAGCAAATTACCTGGGCTGTACTACCACAAGGCTTCGTGGACAGCCCCCATTACTTCAGTCAAATCCAAATTTCTTCCTCATCTGTTACCTGTCTCAGCATAATTCTTCATGAAAACACACATGCTCTCCCTGCTGATTGTGTCCAGCTAATCTCCCAAACCTGAACCCCTTCTACAAAACAACTACTCCTTTCCTTCCTAGGTGTGGTTAGGTACTTCCACCTTTGGATACCTGACTAAACCATTATGTAAACTCACAAACACAAACCTAGCTGACCCCATAGATCCTAAATCCTTTTGCCACTCCTCTTTCTGCTCCTTAAAAACAGCCCTAGAAGCTGCCCCCACACTGGCTTTCCCTAAAAAGGAAAAGCCAGTGTGTTTCATTACACACAGCCAAAGTACAGGGCTGTGCAGTCAAAATTCTTACACAAGAGCCGGGACTATGCCCTGTAGCCTTTCTGTCCAAACAACTTAACCTTACTGTTTTAGGCTAGCCCCCCACATTATTCCTGATACCACACCTGAGCCCCATGATTGTATCTCTCTAATCCACCTGGCATTCACTCAATTTCACTGTATTTCCTTCTTTCCTGTTCCTCACCCTGATCATACTTGGTTTATTGATGGCAGTTCCACCAGGCCTAACTGCCACACACCAGCAAAGGCAGTCTATGCCGTAGTATCTTCCACATCTATCATTGAGGCTACCACTCTGCCGCCCTCCACTACCTCTCAGCAAGCTGAACTCATTGCCTCGGGCCCTCACTCTTGCAAAGGGACTACGCAGCAATAAAATTAAATATTTATACTGACTCTAAATATGCCTTCCATATCCTGCACCACCATGCTGTTATATGGGCAGAAAGAGGTTTTCTCACCACGCAAGGGTCCTCCATCATTAATGCCTCTTTAATAAAAACTATTCTCAAGGCTGCTTTACTTCCAAAGGAAGCTGGAGTCATTCACTGCAAGGGCCATTAAAAGGCATCAGATCCCACTGCTCAAGGCAGCACTTATGCTGATAAGGTAGCTAAAAAAGCAGCTAGCTTCCAGCTTTTATCCCTCATGGCAATTTTTCTCCTTCTCATCTGGTCACTCCCATTTACTCCCCCACTGAAACTTCCACCTATCAATCTCTTCCCACACAAGGCAAATGGTTCTTAGACCAAGAAAAATATCTCCTTCCAGCCTCACAGGCCCATTCTATTCTGTCGTCATTTCCTAATCTCTTCCATGTAGGTTACAAGCTGCTAGCCTGCCTCTTAGAACCTCTCATTTCCTTTCCATCGTGGAAATCTGTCCTCAAGGAAATCACTTCTCAGTTGTTCCATCTGCTATTCTACTACTCCTCAGGAATTGTTCAGGCCCCCTCCCTTCCCTACACATCAAGCTTGGGGATTTGCCCCTGCCCAGGACTGACAAATTGACTTTACTCACATGCCCTGAGTCAGGAAACTAAAATACCTCTTGGTCTGGGTAGACACTTTCACTGGATAGGTAGAGGCCTTTCCCACAGGGTCTGAGAAGGCCACTGCGGTCATTTCTTCCCTTTTGTCAGACGTAATTCCTCGGTTTGGCCTTCCCACCTCTATGCAGTCTGATAACGGACTGGCCTTTATTAGTCAAATCACCCAAGCGGTTTCTCAGGCTCTTGGTATTTAGTGACTTCTGGATGTAAATCGCCACCCTTAAGTCTCTCTTGAAGTGGATCTTCAGTGGCAAGGTACCCTCCAATACTTTCACCCTGATGAAGTCCTATTCTTTACTTTTATACTCACTCTTATTCTGGTTCCCGTTCTTATGCCACCCTCTACCTCTCCCCAGCTATCTCCACCACACTATCAATCTCACTCTCTCCTAGCCGTTTCTAATCCTTCTTTAACAAACAGTTGCTGGCTTTGCATTTCTCTTTCCTCCAAAATTGCCGAGGCCTCGACTTACTCACTGCTAAAAAAAGAGGACTCTGTATATTTTTAAATGGAGAGTGTTGTTCTTACCTTAATCAATCTGGCCTGGTATATGACAACATAAACTCAAGGATGGAGCCCAAAAACTCACCAACCAAGCAAACAATAATGTTGAACCCCCTTGGACACTCTCTAATTGGATGTCCTGGGTACTCCCAATTCTTAGTCCTTTAATACCTATTTTTCTCCTTCTTTTATTTGAATCTTGTGTCTTTCATTTAGTTTCTCAATTCATACAAAACCTCATCAAGGCCATCACCAATAATTCTATACAACAAATGCTCCTTCTAACAACCCCACAATATCACCCCTTACCACAAAATCTTTTTTCAACTTAATCTCTCCCACTCTAGGTTCACATGTCGCCCCTGATCCTGCCTGAAGCGGCCCTGAGAAACATCACCCATTATCTCTCCATACCACCCCTAAAAATTTTTGCTGCCCTAACACTTTACCATTATTATTATTTTTATTAATATAAGAAGACAGGAATATCAGGGCTCTGAGCCGAAGCTAAGCCATCATATCCCTTGTGACCTGCATGTATACATCCAGATGGCCTGAAACAACTGAAGATCCACAAAAGAAGTGAAAATAGCCTTAAATGATGACATTCCACCATTGTGATTTGTTTCTGCCCCAACCTAACTGATCAATGTATTTTGTAATCTCCCCCACCCTTAAGAAGGTTCTTTGTAATTCTCCCCACCCTTGAGAATATACTTTGAGATCCACCCCGTCTGCAAAACATTGCTCCTAACTCCACTGCCTATCCCAAAACCTATAAGAACTAATGATAATCCCAGTGCCCTTTGCTGACTCTCTTTTCGGACTCAGCCCGCCTGCACCCAGGTGAAATAAACAGCCTTGTTGCTCACACAAAGCCTGTTTGGTGGTCTCTTCACACAGACGCGAATGAAATTTATCTTTCTATGTTTGGCCTGTTTCATAATGTTCTCCAGGTTCATTCATATTGTCACAAATGGCAGGATTTTATTCTTTTTAAAGGCTGAATAATATTCCATTGTACATGTATACTACATATTCTTTATCCATTCATCTGTCAATGGACATGCAAGTCATGTCCATATCTTGGTCCTTGTGAATAATGCTGCAGTGAACACAGGAATGCAGGTATCTTTTCAAGATCCTGATTTCACAAAGGAATTATTTCTTATTTGTCACCTTTATCCCATACAATACTCCACTCATTTAGTGAATGTGCTCTACTCACAAGGAAGGAAGGAAGGAGGGAGGGAGGGAAAGAGGGAAAGAGAGGCAGTGAGGGAGGGAGGGAGAGAGGGAGATCTGTGGGTTGTAGAAAGTTTAGGCACTTGGGCTTTACATTTCTTTTATTTATTTATTTTTGAGACAGGGTCTCACTGTTGCCCAGGCTGAGTGCAATGGTGCGATCACAGCTCACTGCATCTTTGACCTACTGGGCTCAAGTGATCCTCCCCACTCTCAGCCTCCCCCGTAGCTGGGACTACAGATGCATGTCACCACACCTGGCTAATTTTCTCTATTTTGTAGAAACGGAATCTCACTCTTTGGCCCAGGCGGGTCTTGAACTCTTAACTCAAGCAATCCATCCACCTCGGCCTTCCAAAATGCTAGGATTACAGGTGTGAGCCACAGTGCCCAGCTGCAATTCTTTAAGAAGTTGTGGTTGCCTTGGAGAAATTGGAAACTCTCAGATTCTTAGGCCATCCCTATATACTAGTTGGTAAGTCATAACTCCAGCATTGCCTCCTGGGTTTCAGTGTGCATGACATCCATATGGGACAAGCCACCTGAGCTTTCTGCCAAAACTTACAGGAAAATCTGGGCTGAGCCACAAATATTATGAGCTCTAACCCAGGGACATAGCAGCTCTCCCTGTAGTTTTTGCTGATTTCTAGATGTTGTGGCTCCCTTGTCTGGGATCCGTTTGGTGTTTAGCACTTAGCCATAAATCAGCCTTGTGTCCTATGGGTAGGCTAGGGCTGGAAAGTAGAGGGAGGGAGAGCAGCTGGAGAGACCTAGAGATGTTAACTGAGAATGTGCAAACCGAGAAGGAAGACAGGAACCGAGGCTATCTACGTACCTTTTTCTAGAGACAGGTCGACTATGTAGACCTTTTTCTAAGCGGCCTGGTTGTGGCCTGTGGCCAATTAGTTGTGTCTGCAGAAGAAATTGAGCCTTTTCTCTTCTTAAGCCTCCTTCCTTCAAATTCCTAGACCTGGAGCATACCTAAACCTCAGTTTTACCAGTTTCCCTACACAGCAGAGAATGAATCACCTGATTTAGAATCAGGGAATGTGGGTTCAGGTACTGTCAGCTACTCACTGTGTGACCTTAGGCAAGTCACGTAGTCTCTCTGAGCTTTGGCTTTTCCAACAGAGTTAGAGTTATGCCTCCAGTCCTGCCACCCCGCCCCCTCTGCCCCCTCCCCCCACGCGCCTCCCCCTTCCCCTCCCATAGTTGTTGGAAGAATGAAATGAGATAATAGGGTTAAAAGTGTTTTGTGAATGGTCAAGCTCTGTGCAGTTAATTGTAAGGGAGGAGGAGGAGGTTGTGGTTTCTTGAGGGGGATTTGGGTTGCATGACCCTACTGAGTAAGCCCTTCTTTCTGTGATGCCTAAAGTGCCACCAGGTGGCAGCAGGATCCTATCTTTGCTCGTCTTTAGTGGAGGATAAATCTTGGAGAAGATAGGAAAGGCCTTTGGATGCTGCTTTGCTCTATCCTGCAAAGGTTATGAGGATTTATTTCTTTACCACTGTCTACATTTCTCACTCCACCAAATCCCTCTGGTTAATAATAAATACTTCCCCAAAGGACTCCCCCATCTCTTTTTTTTTTTGAGACGGAGTCTCGCTCTGTCGACCAGGCTGGAGTGCAGTGGCACAGTAGCGTGATCTCAGCTCACTGCAAGCTCCACCTCCCGGGTTCACGCCATTATCCTGCCTCAGCCTCCCGAGTAGCTGGGGCTACAGGCACCCGCCACTGCGCCCGGCTAAGTTTTTGTATTTTTAGTAGAGACGGGGTTTCACCCGTGGTCTCGATCTCCTAACCTCATGATCCACCCGCCTCGGCCTCCCGCAGTGCTGGGATTACAGATGTGAGCCACTGCACCGGGCCCGAATTTGGGTAATTTTTAAAGGTTGAATCTTCTGTCACCAATAAGAAGTCTCAGGGAATCTTTTCTTTACTCAGCAAGTAGATTTGGCCTGTTAGTGTACACTTAGGGAGAGTCAAAAGATATAAAGTCCTGAATCTTCTAGTGAGATGCTCACAGTTTTGTTAGCAACAAGTTTGTAGCCAGGAAGCAGAGTGGTATATGTAGAATTAGAGAAGGGCTAGACAACAGGAATAGACTTTGTATACATGCACTGAGGGGACCCAAGGACTGGAGGGACAGTGTGGCAGAGCTGAAACACAGAGGGGTTAAGTGGCATGCTTAGGGCAGCACAGTGAGACCATGGGAAGAGTTGGGATGAGAGTCCTTGGACTCCTGGCTTCCAGAGACATTGATAGTCCCCATCTCTCCAACGCCAGAGGCAGTTTTGTTGTAGTTCTAAATGTATGAGTAAGTGGATGCTCCTCGTGGCCTCTCAGAAGGATGCGTAAGCATATGAACTGTTTCCCACTAGTTGTTCTATAGAAGAATTGAGGAACCTTCACATAATACCGTAGATCAAGTTTCCACTCAGTTATTGACTTAGAAACCATATCTCAGACTCATTCCACGAAGCTAGAAGCCCAGCATTTTTATTAGGCTCTAAAATCAGATTTAACATCTGCTAGTGAAAGCTCCTGGCTGAAGCTCTTCCAGTAACAACTCGGAAATCCTGGTTTCATACGTCTCTCAATTCCTTTTAATCAGAGACAGGGTATTTTTTGAAGCCATATGGGTGAGGAGGGGCTTTATCTGAAAATCTCCATGAAATGTTCCAAGGTTATGGCAGGCGTGATTAGCTTATATATGTCTTTCTAAGAGTCCGTGAGGTGAATGCTGAAGTTCCTCATCAGTTTGGGAAGGCTGAAAGCCTGTTTATTCTGTGTAATAAGATGATTGCATGCCATTTGGATACCCATTCCTCTGGAAGATCCTCACCTGAAGAGACTGGCTTAATGGTATGGTAGATAGCAGACAGAACTGTTGGTCAAGGCCAGTCAGGGATGCTGGATTTGAGCTATAGGTCTGCAAATTTACCAATCTGTCTAGTCTTTCTCAGTGATCATATACCTACCTCCTGGATTTCTTGGAGAAGCTAGGGAATTAGATTCTGATGAAAAGGCATAGTCCTACTCTGCCTCTTTCTAAATACCTAACCATGTTGTAATTGTCTGGATTACTGACATTGCTCCCTCAGGAAGTGCATTCATCAAGAGCAGGGATCCAATCTTAACTGTTCTCTTTATCCACAGTGTCAGGCAGATAACTTGGCGGGTACTCAGTAAATGATAGTTGAACAATGAATGAAATAGGATGGAATTTGAAGCTGGACAGATCAGAATTCACCACTGTGTGACTTCAGGCAACTTGCTTAATTAACAGTTTTAAAATTTGTAGATTGGAATAGCATTACTTATTTACAAGAGTGTTTTTAGGATTAAGTTAATGAATGGAGGGACCTGTTAAGTGATGTTCCTTTGGATTCTGATACAGTAACAGTAACGAAGGTTGGAACATAGAATCACAGAATTACAAAGCAACTAAGAGAAAACTAGCCTCATTTCTGCCTGGCTAAGTCCTAATCCTTTGGATATCAGTTTAAAAATTATTTCTTCTAAGAAGTTTTTCTTATCTACTTCCTGTCCCCATTGTCCCCTGAGTAGGTTAATTCCTCCTAAGTACCTTCATAATGTTATAGTTTCTCTGTTACAGCACTTGTCACAGTTCTTTTTTTTTTCTGAGATGGAGTTTCATTTGCCACCCAGGCTGGAGTGCAATGGCGCGATCTCAGCTCACCACAATCTTTGCCTCCTGGGTTCAAGTGATTCTCCTGCCTCAGCCTCCCGAGTAGCTGGGATTACAGGCGGCCACTGCCACACCTGGCTATTTTTTTTTTTTTTTTTTTTTGTATTTTTAGTAAAGATGGGGTTTCACTATGTTGACCAGGCTGGTCTTGAACTCCTGACCTCAGGTAATCCGCCTGCCTCAGCCTCCCAAAGCGCTGGGATTACAGGCGTGAGCCACCATGCCCGGCCTTATCACAGTACTTTTAAAGTATTATCTCTGTTAGACTGTAAACTCCATGAGGGCAGGGATTATGTCAGTCTTGCTCACTATTGTATTTAAGCACATAGTAGACATTTATTAAATATTTATTGATTGAATGAAGCAGGGGCTTAGGAAGGATAGGTAATTTGCCCAAAGCACAAGCTAGATTCCACATCTCTTGACTCCTTGCAGCACAACTGCCTCATGGACAGGCATTTTGGATTCTCAGGTTTTTAAAAAAAGTTTTTGTTTTTTTCTCCTTCATTAAGAAAAATTATATAAGCATTGTATGTTCTTAGTATAATATTTAGGAACTACAGTTAAGCAAAGAGACAAA